AAGGCAGAAATGAGGCAGGCAGTAGGCGGCAGCAGCAGGGCTGGGGCACCCTTATTTCAATTTAGTAGAAGCGATCCCTTCTACATGGAACACAACCTACATATAAAACAAGTTTAGTAACCCATTGATTTCTATGAAGTATTGATTCTCTAGATATCTCATTGGCCACCAGATTAAAGCCATGAAGTATGATATATGTTACCTGAAGATAAAATATTCAGATGTTTTTATGTAGGCATAAAATCCCGTGTGGCATAAGAGTATTCCAAGTGTATTACCATTTGGAGCAGTGTATTACCTAGACACTGAAATAAACAAGAGAGGGAGTGAGAGCTTCCTCCTCTTCACAGTCTGCTCATCGCTGCTTACAGCAGTAAACAAGAGTTCACCGACAGTTTAAGAAATAATTGAAATAAAGAAACGGGTTAAGCAATGGATACATTTAAAATAAAACCAAAATTCAGAATGCGTGAACAGTGAGCTTTTTTCAAAACCAGTCATGCGATAGTGCAGGACCCAAGAGCTCACAAAAGGAGCAGATTGGGAACTAACAGGAGCTGTTTGATTGACACCATTGGTAAGTTCAATTGCTTGGAAAGCGTGGGAGTGCAGAATATAAACAAGCACAGCTTGAGAGAATTAATACAATTACTTGCAAGAAGAGGTTAGAAAAACTGATCAAAGAAGAGAAAAAAGTTAAATATAAAGATTTATCCAAGGGAATATACAAAAGAAAAGAAAGGCATCCTCAGCTATTTATGGAGGAATAGAGTATTAAAACATTGTATGATCCTCCTACAATTTGAGGGACCAAATTACATAGTATTTGAGGTTGAATAAAGACATTAGTCCATCAAGTCCAACCTATTAGGATCTCATTGTAGGAGTACCTGTACCCCTGTATATTACGGTCCCTTAAGAAATCGTCCAAAAGTTTCTTGAACAATTCCACATTATTTGCTGAAATCACCGCCTGTGGCAGTGAGTTCCAGACCCTAACTGATCTTACTGTGAAGAACCCCCTTCGCCCCTTGTGCTGGAATTTTTTTCCCACCAATTTTAGGTGATGACCTCTAGTTTTTGTAACGGAGTTAATTTTAAATAGTTTATCGCTAATGTTGCTACCACCATTGAACATTTTGTACATGGAGATCATATCCCCCCTTAATCTCCTCACCTCCGATGTGAACATGTTTAGATGTTAGAACTATCTAGGATAATATAGTACTATTGATTCAGGGATCTGAAATGGTGGTCCCTTGTGGTATCAGGAAGGATTTGTGTTTTTTGGCTGCCTCTGGACCAACACTGATAGGGTTTTGATAGAAGCTGAATTTCATGGACTTTTTTGTTTTTTTAAATCTAGATACTCTACTGTTCTAAAGGACTTTCATGGAAACTTTAATCCAAAATCCAAATGAAGATCCAGGCTGGGCTGGATCTTCATTCTTTTCTTTTGCAGAGTGGGGTTGGTCCTTCTTGCAATGCCCTGGATTTACAACCATTTTAGTCCTACAATAGGCTCTACAATCCAAATCGGCATACACATCAGTTGTTTCACCATTTCCAATGGGACTTCAAGTCTTTTCCTGTTTGCAAACAAATTATATTCCTAGAGATAGCATTTGCAGCACCAGGATATATACTATCCTGAAAATATTAGTAATTATTGAATGGTTCATAGTGGCTCCACCGGCATGATGGGGATATTTCTAAATGTTTTTAGGAAGTGGGGTTTGTCATATTATGGTTTAATTATGAAGTACAATAAAAATTTTCATATACATGTCGCAAGACTTTTGTGGGTTTGAGTACCACTGGTACTGGAGGTCTGAACAAATGTTTCTATTAATATTTGCCAAACAGTGGACAATTCTTATACATTTCTCTCAAACTATTATACCCATGAGTGGTATTTAAAGTGTTTAAGAATCTTATTAGTATTGTTATATATATATATATATCACTCCTGACACCCAGTAGGGTGAGGGTATTTGGTAGGAGACTCATTTAAGACATCCTTGCCTAGTTACATACAAACAGAACAGCTGGCACCTTTTTAAACCTTTTCTACTCCTGCCAATAGAAGTGCATGCGCCTTTAAGGCCAGCATAATCTTGTCATTAGACTGGCACAAATTACAGACAGGGGAAAATCATCGTCACCCTATAACAGGAACAGCCTGAACTAGGAGCACCATGCTAGTATCACCAGGTATTATTTTAATGGAAGCTGCTAAGCTAACCAACATAGGCGATACTTTTCACATCATTTGGCTGGTAGTGATACTGTAAAATCGTGCTTAAGGAGACTATAATCACATTGTATTGTTGGCTTAGATGTATACAAACACTGTATTGGGGAGAAGCTATGGGACAACATGAACTCTGTTGACAAAACATACCTGGGACCTATTGTTGTTTGGAGAACAAAGTATATGTTTGCCTGTAAATACAGGTGGGGTTCAACCAAAGGACTTTGTGTGTATGCTGTATGCCCCTGGACTGTTTGCAGTTTATATATATATATATACATTAAAGTAATATTGCTACAATGTATTCGCATTTCAGACAAGTATTCTTTGATCTGCACACAATGGATTTCCAACAACCTTGCAAGTAAGTTTATCATAGAAAGAAAACGTATACAGAGCTCTAGACATTATCATCAAGGATTAAAAAGGTGTTATTAAACCCGATTGTTAAAAACGAACACCACCTAACACCACTTGAATCAAAGCTTGTTTGACAATCCATGCTGTTTGTAGTCCTTTCAATTTTGCCCATTATCAGTTCTTGTTTTCCCCTTTCCCTGCCAAGCCCTCCGGAACACTTTACACCTCAGCTGGCCACACCATTTTTGCATTTATTCCATTGTTTTGAGCTTCTTCTGCTGCATTGCTAGCGTTTGTAAAAGACCATATATTTTCTGAAAGCACAGGCCCGGTAGAATAAAAAGATGGTGCTACTAAATTTGTAGGTCCTGTGGTAATTGTGCAAATGTTTATCAAATCAATATTAAACCGATAAAAATACACAATTCAATTGATAAAAGCACACTAAAATCAGTATCAGTGCACAAAAAAAAACACTTTTCCTACAATCTAAAAGATAAAACTATTGAATAACAAATATTTGTACAATTTAATTTGGGCCTTTTTGTGAAACTGTAAAAAGTAGTAACGCAAAACTGTAAATAAGCAACTTACTTTAAAAATAGTTTTTGTGCTGTGTTGATAAAATGATGCAGGCCTTCATTTAATCGCAACAGTGTATCAAAACGCACAGCAATGCATCACAACACTTTGCTATGCACCGCCAGTTACATTTCAAAAAAATAAAATAAAAAAATCAAGCACTGCAATGCGTTCTAACACCGCATACACTACAATATGGGTGGGGGGGAGGGAGTGTTTTATTTGATTATTTACTTGTTTGTTATTTTTACAGGGAAATATTAGGGGTCTAAAACAGACCCCTGACATTTCCTTTTTGAAATAGAAAAGTTCTTGATCTTTCTACAGGATCTGCTCTAAATGAATGGAAATCACCAAGTACAGAGGCTTCCCATTCATTCAGAAAATATTTACCTTCAACCATTTTCTGAATGGGGAGAAGCCTCTGTAGTAAGTGCTACTTCCCAATGAGTAACTCATGAACGAACAGGAAGTGATGAAAAGCATACATGTCATACTATGTGTACCTAGTTGTTTACAAAACATTGGGAGTCAGCTGATCACTCCGGTGTTTGTGCTGCACAGAGGATCAGTAAATATCCCACATATTTACCAATCGTCCACTCAGTCACACACAGAGCCACTGTCATTCTGAAACAGACAGGGTGACAGCATCCCTGCTCTCTCCTCCCTATTCCGCTGTGGCTCCTTACCACTGGATGACAGCGCTTCCTCCCCCGCCCCCTGGCTAAAGCAACCATGATCATATAGCAGAAGGGTAAAAGCCACCAAGGTATGGCATACTGATGTGGCCAGCTGCAAGCGGTTGTGTTCCACTGTATAACATACGTCGGTGGCACAGAAAGGGTTAAATCATACAGCTGAATAACTTACCCCTTGAAAGACTGACTTACCAGCTTGATTAGATCAGTCAGTCTCATTGCAATTGTCGAGTTTGACATTCTGTATATTTTTTGCAGCAGTGTGTACAGCACTGTTGGGGCACAGTGCTACCATTGCAGTGAGCGTCTGTTTTACTGCCCCCTTGCCGCCTGCGTAAATGAGGCCTTATACACTTCCTGCCTTAGGGTGACAATGCTCAGTCACTGTACTGTATCTATTGAGGAGCAGCACTGTTAACCTAGTCTGCTCTCCTGATTTAGACTAAAACACCTCCTTCTCCATTATATAAATGGGCATTGCTGACATTAAGATTTTGTTTTAACCCATAGAAGTTTAAAGGGCACGAGATTTCCATCAGGATCACCAGCCAAATATGTGATTGGCCTTTAAAAAAAAAAAGGAAACTAATGCAGCCACCACATTTGAGGACTTCAAAGCTGCAATATACTGTATTACATTTTTGTTTTTGAGTTCAGATATACTTTATAGTAAAGTTGCATATATTTCCTAAATCAGCTCCTTCAAAGCCCCACATGTAGAGAAGTTTTGGTATAGAGGTATTGCCCTAGTTTGCCCCCACTTCTAAATCTCACACATTACTATGATGGGCAGCCCCAACTGGCCAATAGCGAGGTCCCAAAAGTAGCAAGGTGGTGGGCCAGCCTCTGGACCTGGGATGCCGATTCGGAATGCTTCTGGATTTAGAGCACCAGGGGTCCATTGCCTTAATGAACGAATGGCAGTCATTACTTTTCTGGATAGTGCTGATGATATATTATCCATAATTCAACATTTCCTTTGATGTAGCTGGCCTGCACGAACATTGTTGTAGATTAATCTGACACATAAAATCAGCAATTATATATCAGATTCATGATAATGCATCTATTAAGCAACAAGGAAAACACAAAACACATTTTAACTATCAACTTATTAGGAGTTTATTAAAGGTTTCTAAAATATTTGATTTAGGGCATACCTTAACCAAAACAAGGGGGTGCCAAGATCACCAAACAGCCCAGCTCTACACCACCAGCACTGCTGAACTTCAGTGATTTGTAGGGAAAGTACAACCAGACAGACATTACTGGTTGGCTCAAACATGGTTCAATAAAAAAGGAAATGCTTCCGACATCTGACAAATTTGATCTAAAATTCTGTCTGCTTAAGCATAAAGAAAACACAAAACCACTATATTACAAAACAAAACACCCTCTGATGTCCGCTGTACATGTCAGCTCTCCTCACTGTCTCCCTATTTCCCCGCTTGCTGAGCCTGCCGACGGAGCAGAACATAGATCTTCTCTTTGATCCAGTCTTTGTTGTAGGGCTGGTATGTCTGAGTGTCTGCGCGGTACCTGCAAGAGAACAGTAAAGTCGGGGGGCAATATTAATTTACCAATACTGCCATCGCAAAGACTGATAGAGCTTGAGGCCCCATTTATCAGAAGCATGATATGTTTGTGAAAACTAAGATTTCAGCAAAGATTTGCATTTGACAGCTGCTCACATTTCTAATAAACATGGGGGGAGGGTAATGCATTATGCTGCTTTATATTAGACGTGGTCACACTTTAATATTAAACACAAGTAGGTACAACCTGTGGAGTGTTAGCTTCAAAGCAAACAAGTAGTGGCAACCATCTTATATAGTATACATTATGGACCACTATACAAATATTATCCAGTTTACTTTATAAACGGTTCACTTTTATGGATTAGGAGATGAGTTTCAGTTTATCAAATAAAAAGTATTAAAGTGAACCTGTGAAGGGCAAAGCAATAGGATCACTTAAAATGCAACTGAACACAACACTTTTTTTTTTGGTTTTGTATAGAGTGGAGAGAGATTAGAAGGCGTTTTTTTTATTTCTGTGTCCCTGTTAGGGAGATTTACTCTCTATTTGCCCTGGTGACCGTTACCACTGAAAGTGGAAAAAAAAAACCCGTGTTGTCATTAGAACATGAATAGATGGGATTCCTCCGATGCAGACACTAGTTATAAACAAAAGGCATTTCCCACTCTCAGAAGGCCTCATTTCCTGTGGTAGCCATCGGACAGGAAGTGAAAGGAAATCTCCCATACTCTATCCTAAAAAAAAAAGTTTTGGCTTCAGCTCTACTTTAACTAAAACCCTCTCCTCCTACTTATAATATCCAGGGAGCTACAACAAAATGCATATGTTTGCCCATCAGAGAACAATCTGGTACCTCTGGGTATGGGTGTCCCACTGCTCTCTCCCCTTCCTACCATGATGCAGCCATGCAGGTCTGGGCAGGCAATTAACAGTACAGAGCACCGTCATGTGGGAGCTGGAGTACAGTCTTTAGCCCTATGAAATCTCCAATTACTTGAAGCTTAGACATGGCTTCTTTTGTTTTTGTGAGCTAAACAGAGCAGAAAAGTAGAATATGTACAGTGCTAGGTATTAAAGTGAACCTGTGGCTTTGCCTACTACAGTAAGGCTCTGTGTCAGTTTTTTTATGGTCATCTCCTACCAGATATTCCATAATTACACGATCACCTGCGCTTGTATAAGTGTGCAATGCACAGAGTTAAACTGATGCTTCCCCACCACTTTGTGCATCGGACAAGATTGAGAGAACATTCACCAGACAGACACTATAAATCTGAAATAAGTTATAATTCTTTCTAACACTATGCCCCAAAAAAGTTCCACTTCACAATATTAGTTCATCAAAAAATAAATTCAGTGAGGAAATACTTACACCAAACAGCTAAGATCTGCTAAGTCATCAATGAAATCAAACAACTGACTGATGTCATAAGTTATGGATGGACTGTTGGGGTTCATTCTCTTTAAGTGTTCTTCATACATTTTACAAACTCCTAAGAGGGGGAAAAAAAGCGACATGAGATCAACAAACACTGTACAGAAAGCATGGATTGTCCGAACCTTTGTGTATTTCATACATAACTATAGACAAAGTATGATAAAAACAGAACATTTACTGCAATAGTTTTGCCTGGTGCCATTTTAGGATCCAACAGGGCCCAGAGTAACGTGTTCAGTGATGCACTGGACCACTGTTGGCCATGATAAAAAATGGAGACTGTTGAAACTCCTCTGAGGTCAGTATTACAGTATAAAATCTGACCATGCAGTCATCATACAACTACTCAAGGTGGATGGAACAGGGTTGGCTATGGCTGTTCCCTTATAAAGATAAGCATTTAAGTTCATCCCAAGATTGTTACACGGCCCCCAAGTTTAGCGGTTGGGTTGGAATCAGGATCCACTGTACCAAGCAGATGTTGACTTTAGTGCACACCACTGCATTTCCATTGTATACTACAGCTACTACTAGTGTAGTGTTACCTGTTGAACACTATGATTTTTGACCCAGCCACAGTTATTTCTTATGTTAAGCAACAAGAACTGCTTCTGATACAAATGTTTTGCTGGAGGGTGTTGTGTCTGGGTCTATCCACTGTGAACCTTCATGACTGCTGCATTTAAAAAGCCCAATATTTCTGCAGCACCAACAATGCTTAAACCAATCATCCTGGCACTAATTGTCATGCCCATTAGATCTGTAATCTGTGCATATGCAAAGCAAGAATAGAAAAGAATACTTACTGTTTGTGCAGTTTCACACAGACAAATGTAAAGGCTGAGCACTGTGTTTTAACCAAGTACATGTGCCACTCCTAAAACTGTACAACCTCATAAGAAGTAAATGTGCAGTACTGTCTCAGAGTGCTCAATGCTGCAAGTGTGCTGCTAATTCTTCTCCACAACTTTATATAACAAGAAATAAATGGAGTACTGTCCCCAAAGTGCTCAATGCTGCAGACCGTTATCACAGTCCAGCGTTCTCTAATGCTGAGGCCAGGTGCCGAGTGTCACTATGCAACTGTACAGAAAGCCTCGCTTTGCCCTACATATGTTACATCACTTGCGGTCTTTGTCAGTAGCTCCGTAGGGCGTAGCCTACAGGGCAGAGCTGAGTTTTCGGTACAGTTGCAGTGACACTCGGCCTCAGCATTAGAGAACGCTGGACTGTTGACATCGGTGAGGGGAGTTCGGGATCCATCCATGTTTGGGACTGTGTTTGCTTTTCGATTCGATGTGAGTAGTTGTTTATTTAATAAAGATTTTAACATGTTATACTGTTTTACACTATGGATTGTGTGCATGTTTTTTCCTGAATATCTACACCTGAGAACCAATCTCTGTATGGTGCCCTGAGAGACTAAAGGAGAAAATAAGCCTGGAGAGCAATATTTGACCTGTGTGTGGGTCTATAGTAAAAAGGTGAGTGGCAGACACGGTGGTGGAAGTGGTGAAGAATTCGCAGCACATTTGCAGCATTGAGCACTTTGAGACAGTACTGCACATTTACTTCTTGTTATATGAGGTTGTACAGTTTTAGGAGTGGAACATGTACTTTATTAGGGGACACTTGGTTGGATTTAAATTACTTATTGTGAATTGTGGACTTCGAGCGCAGCACACACATACATATTTTATATTGTTACACGGCATCACCTTTGGTGGTTTTCTCTAGTGTCCGCAGCTATTTATATATTGGCGCAAAATCATTTGTAATAGTAAGCATACATTTAAAATCATGAAAGGCATTAAGAAAAAGCACTTCTAGTAACTCCACTTTTAAAAAAAAATCTTAAAAAATGAATCTAGCATATATAAATTGTTGCACAAGCCATTTTGTAATTTATTGTTAATAAAAATGACCATTTAATTTAAAACTGTAGCTGCTGTAAAGTTCTAAATCCGTCAAAAAGATTCAATGCAATATGGTAACCTGTAGACGTTCTGTACCCACTTGGTGCAGAACAGAAATGCCACTTCCTACTTCTGTGATTGGCTGACCTATTTTCCCAGAAGTCTGCACTAAGATCCAAGTATAACTTTTGGCATCCCTTGCAATAGGAATTCCATTTTTGGTGAGATATTCTCTAAAGGTTGATTACTTCTAAAAAGGGATGAGAACTCTGCAACTTTCCCTATTACAGCACAGGAAGCCCACCATGTGGTGATAATGAACCCAGACCCTCCTATTCAGGGATCAGTCTGGAAAGAACATGGAACAAAAAGTTATTTCTTCAAAAACAGAAACTGCAACAAAGTATGTTAAAATCCTTATAATGTACTCAGATCATCCGGAGAGGATTGATTTTTTCTCAACATAAAAGTGTAATTACTCTTTAAGTAAAGCAAAACCAGTTCCACAAAATGTCATCCATATTACCCACTCTTCAATTTAGGAGCAGCAAATATCACAGCTCAGATTCCATCTTCAGGATAGCATGGATGTTTCCTGCAGTGATGCAATAGCTGGCGGGAGGAACCACAGTACCGAGCAAGGGACCAGGTATTCAACATTCCTGGAAATGTTGAATAGCAAAAGCCCCTGTAGACCCTGCCCACCCGAAAGCCAAGTATGATTTTTTTTTTTTTTTTTTACAGGCTGGTTGTGGTTTATTTGCCTAAGGTCAAGTATGAGGTTAAAAAGGTGTTTTAACAGATAGGGAGGGTTTGAATTTAAGTATGCTATATAGCCTTGGTTCTCAACTGGTGGGTCATGACCCAAAAGTGGGTCACGACCCTGTGATCAGTGGGTCGTCGCATGCCTTCCACTTTTCTAGGTGAAAGCCTCCTCAGCCTCCCCCTAGAGCAGCACCGTCAGTTCTCACACCGAGCAGCCATTTAAAATATGCTGCCCAGCGCTGAGTGTCGACTTGAGGTGAGGTGAGGTGGGGTGGGGGTATGACCTCATTGGGAGCACCTCCTTTACGTGCATTGCTTACAGCTCCCTCGCATGTCCTGTAGAGGTGCCTGGACTGGAGGGACATCACATTCTGGCTCCCGGCACCTCTACAGGTGCGCATTGGAGCTGTACAAACAATGCACATATGGAAGGAGCTCCGTCACAGCACAGCAGCGCACACTGCCGCGTGTTCCATCGCAGTGCAACTTGGGTCGCGACTTAATGACCGAGGACAAATGTGGGTCCTGAGGTTACACAGGTTGAAAACCACTGCTATATAGGATAGTAAAGCGTAACTAAACCCACCAGTTTAAAAGAGGAACTTCACCCATATCTATGAAATGACAACCAACACCTTCAGAAATGTTTGTAATGACAACTACAGACCAATACTTCTAGATAATTCCAGGCTTTGCATATCTTATCACTCTTTTCTTCCCCATTCTTCTCACATAGGCTTTTTTTTCTTCTAATGAGGGCAGATTAATATATTTCCCTTTACTTCCTGGTACTCTGCCATATGTGCACAACTGCACATCTCATGAGAGGAAAATGGCTTTTGGCGGAGCCTATATCTCGATGGCTGTCCTGGAAGATGACTGGGGAAAATATGTTTAATTAATGTAGGATGATTTTAGATCAGCATGCAGAGCTGCATGCCAATAGGATTTTTAGTGAAAAGGGGTAAAAGGTCCAGGCTGGCGTTGTAATGGTGTAGGGAATATTTTCTTGGTACACTTTGGGCCCCTTAGCACCAATTGAGCATTGCTTAAATGTCACAGCATACCTGAGTATTGCTGCTGACCAGGTCTATCCCTTTAAGACCACAATATACCCATCTTCTGATGGCTACTTCCAGCAGGATAATGCACCATGTCACAAAGCTAAAATGATCTCAAACTGGTTTCTTGAACATGATAATGAGTTCACTGTACTCAAAGGGCCTCTACAGTCACCAGATCTCAATCCAGTAGAGCACCGTTGGGATATGGCGGAGGGAAGATTTGCACCATAGACAAATCTGCAGCAACTAATGATCCTATCGTGTCAGTATGGGCTGAATGTTTCCAGAACCTTGTTGAATCTATGCCACAAAGAATTAAGGAAGTTCTGAAAACAAAAAGGGGGGGTCTAACCCGGTACTAACAAGGTGTATCTAATAAAGTGGCAGGTGAGTGTATTTCTGATTTAGATGAAATCTTTATTTTTCTAACACTAAATAGAAATTGCACAGCCATTTGCCTTCAGATGCTATCCTGAAATGTAAATATTACCGATTCATACACAATATTCCATATTTACTCAACTTAAGGAAAAAAAAACTTTTTTTCTGGATCATAAAATCAGAATTAAAATATATGCAAAACACTTTACATTCCCTTTAAAGTCATGGTCAAATAACTGTATGCAGTTCAATTTTAAAGCTGAAATCCAGGCTTAACAAATACTCTCCAAATACAAGGGCCATACTACTACTACCACGGGGAATACTAGCCTAATTCTCCATGTTCTTCCCGTATTACTTCTAGATCTGTGCAGTAATCCAGCATGAAATAACTCCTCTACTCTGCTTATGTGCACAAATTTCCTGTAACAGAGACCGGTCACTGCTGCTCTTTTGCAGGGTGACTGGTCTTGTATCCGCCCTCAATTGTAGTTTCCTGCACACAGCCTGTAGTGGGTGGACCAGCTGGGTACCTCCCACATCTCTGCACAGGCTATATACAGCACAGTGATGATGTCTGCACCACCCCACTGCTGACTTGCCCAGTATCTGACCATACATTTCATATTTTGCTTTGGTGAATGTAGTGGGCGGGTTTGTACCTATGGGGAAAGGGATTGGATTATTGTCTGCTCTGTTTTGTTGTTCTTATTGAATTCCTTATTGTTTATGTATATGTTTCTTTTTAAACAATCTTAAAAAAAACAAAAAGGAGAATAGCTGGCCTTGCAAAGGCATTTGAGGAACCAAAACTGTAGTTTATCCTTTGTGGCTACTGTAATATAGATGTAAATGAATATTTTTGTGCCAAGAGCTCAGCTTTAAGTATATTCAATATTTCACACCATGGGAATAAAATATAATCACTGTAAACATGTTCTAGTTTGTACTGTCACTTTTGCTGTATAGCTTGATCTGCACTTATGAGTGGAAAGAACAAATATAAATAAAAAGACATGCAAATATACAGAGAGGACTCATGCATTAAATAAATATCATTACAAATATTAACTACAGTATATGTAATATCTTATAAAATATTTTGCACAAAAGTGGCTTTCTAAATGTTAGCTCATTCAATACAAATTGCAAGCCACAGAGATCGGTGAATGTAATTAAATATCAAATACAATGTTTATAGGAAGGGGTGGACGAATCAAAATGGGATTCAGGAGCCAGTCTGTCCAATCCAGCAGGATTTTTTCTAGGATCCAGCTCCATTGACAACAACTAGAGAACCTACATGCAGTATAATACAAAACTTTTAAGTGACGCTGGCTTAAAATGGTACTAAACCCCATCATTAGATATTGTTTATGAAAGAACTTTGTTCCATACCTTCCATGCATTCATTGACAGATTCATAGTCTGCATATGTTCTTCCTTCAGGCCTCTTTGTTGGTTGAACAAGCAAGATTGTGTGAGACTGTAAAACATCAAATAATGAAAAAATGATTTTTGAGAAGTAAAAACAAAAGTAATGTTACAGGAATAGGTAACAAATCTGCTCGAATATCCTTTCAGCCATGACCCTATGAACTCAAGTCTATTACA